CTGAATGGATGAGTCACAGTGGTTTCCGTGAACTCTTCTCAAGGTGAATACCCCAAGGTTCTACTTCTTGCACTTAGTGCAGAGTTTAGTATATGGCTGGTCACTTATTCCTCTTAAGGGGGTGGGGGGGGGGAGATTAAATAAAAATAAAACAGAAGCTGGGAATGGATGGAAGGTCTGAAAATAAGCTCTGAGTCCGGCTCTCAGGATCCAAATGAACACAGCGTCATAAACACCAGAGGAAGCAAAAATACAGCATCTATAATGCTGGTCATAAACGAATTTATATTTGGACTATACCGACAGAAAACTTGAAGTATGATTTTGGTTAGAGTAAAACTTAATATGGGACAATATATTTAAGTAAATGTAGAAAGCAATATAAGATGCACATAACACTAACTCATTATTTTAAAGCTTAATCAACACACACTGTTTGCCCTCACAGCAACATGCAAAATTAAACTGACTCATAACGGTTCACTAAATAGATCCAAGAGAACAGTACTGCTTGCTATAATAATAATTATTATTATTATTTGGTATTCCTTGGAAATACAACTTTGTCTTCTTAAGAATAACCTGTATTTCAAACATTTAGCTAGACAGGGATTTTCTCAATCTATTCATTTCATTCGGGCGAGGTTTACGATAAAACTGAATGCACGAGTAAAGCCCTGAAGCTATAGTCATTGTCTAACTTAGTTTGATAATTACTTTTAATACTACCCGTGCAAAAAAGTGAAATTCATCCATTCATTTTCAATCATCTGCACTAAATGTGTAATAAGCAGTCGAGAGGAAATAAAATCTTAGATAAGCAGCAAAGTAAATCTTATTTTAGTTATCTGTTTCAATCTCTTCCCTAACATTTTTTTTGTTTTAATTTCACTTAATTATCAATTTGTGCGGTTTGCTATATAGGAAGCAAACAGCTGTAATCTGGGCTTTCATTCTGTCTCCTACCACGTGTCCTCTGGTAGAACTGTCTGTGAATGATCAAGGGGTCACTAGGAAGGTGTGCTTTAATGACGGCGATGCAGGTGGAAGGGTGGCTGGCTAGATGAATTTGGATGTGCAAGGAGTGAGACACGAGGCTCAGAAATGCCAGAGACGCCTCCCTCACCTTTGCACGTCTTTCCATCCTCTTGCAGGACGTAGCCCCGAGGACAGGAGCACTGGTAACTCCCCTCAGTGTTCTTGCAGATGAAGTTGCATGGTTTCGGGGACTGGGAACATTCATCAAGATCTAAGTGAAAGGGATGTCAGGATTACATTCTCGGTTTCAAGAAACCACCGGCCTCTTTCCTCCCTCCGTGTTCTTAATTCACCTTTTTCCTTCCCACTTCAACTTAAAATGGAAAAAACAGCCAGCCAGGGGAAAATGATGCACAGTTTTCTCGACAGTAACATACTGGTTTACTTTGTAGATCAATCTATGGTTCTTGGGATACATGTACTATCTGGACAATTGTCTGGGGGCAAAAAAAAAAAAAAAATCCACTGCATTCTTTAGATCTATGTACTTTGGTTTACAGCTCGAGGATCATTCTCTTAAAAGTAGGAGTTTCTTTCTTCTGACACATGGCTCTGGAAGACGTTCTCTGAAACTGTGAGCTGACCCGCTGAGCACCGTGGGGTCCCACAGGCTTGCCGCGCCCAAGTCAGGCCCATGCTGCTCCCGGGCCGGGCAGCTCGACTGCACACACACGGGTCGGCAGGCTCTCCTGCCCTCTGTCTTCCATCTGGTCCTTACTTCCTTCCGCTCCCTCCCTGCAAGATGGCTCAGTCTCTGAGTCACTGGATCAGAGGTCACAGCGCCTTTCAAAGCAGCCCTCGGTGCCCAGCTTTGTCCTTGCAGGGTTCGATACCCTCTCCCTCTTTTCTTTTGGCCCAGGGATGGTACAGCTCCCAGCACACAGCACTGTGCCTTAAAGATTCTACACACCCTGCTCACATCCTGAACCAAAACAACCCTCCCGAAATCGTCCTCCCTTGAACATGCTAGCTCTCTTCTGCTAGGACTGATGGACAGCAAACAATCTCCTTTTCCTCGTAAAACACACTGAGCAAAAGTCACGCACATTTTCGAGAACGCCGGAAGCTGGTGATCAGTGGCTGTTCTCAAGGACTCCCATGCCCAACCAAGTGAGTCAAATGCTTACTAAGGGTCAGTTTGGTTTTTCTGAACCTTTTCATGCCAGGTGTGTTTGTTAGTAAAATAGGTGCTTTAAAGGACTATCATGCAAGTTGATTAAATATGGAGGAGAAGAGACACTTTTTTTTTTCTTCAATGAAAACTAAGTCACATGCTTTGGAAAGACTCATTAGAGGCCAGCCCCCCACCCCCTGCCCTCAACTGGTACAGAATGGTGGGGGTGAGACCGTAAGAAACTAAATTAGAAAAAGAGATTGTAAAAATGTTGAAGGATTCTGTCCTGACACTGCTTTGCAACTGCAAATTTTACATGAGGCTTCATTCGTATATTTTATGCAAAAAACCAGCAATGAGAAACAAGCACAAAGCGCTCTCCCTACACATGCTCACACACAGGCTCACCGTCAGAAGCCCTCTTCTTTCAACAAGAGACTGACACACGAAGGGGCACTTATAATTTTAAATTAAAATATAAAATGGTGAAAGAATATTTTACAGTTTTTATGCTCCCCGACTAAACACTTCTGATGAACTGAACAGTTCTGTGTCCCACATTATTGGACAAGGACAACTACTGTGCTATCAGGAGCCGCATTCCTGAAAGGATTGGCATGACTGCATGAAAGGTACACTGCAAAGCCCCGCAGGAAAGCTCCCGCATGCCCCAGTGACTCGTAGGAAACGGTCGTTGGCCACCGCCCAGACGTAGGGACCCGCGCCTTACCTACACACGAGGTGCCACTGATGTCTGTCGTGTAGCCAACCTTGCAGAAGCATCGGAACGAGCCCATGGTATTGATGCATTGACCGTGGGTGCAGAGGTTTGGCATCACCTTACACTCATCAATATCTGCGGGCGAGAAAGAAAACCCCAAATAAAAACAAACACACAAGTTAATATATATGCAAGGATAAAACTGGTGGGAAGCTAAGAGAAACGAAGGGACGGACGTGAAATAATGAGCAACCAGCATTCACAGCAGCGCTGAAGTACCTCTTCACCACTCCGCTGAATGGAAACACGGAAGGGAAAGAATATTCTGACGGGATTGGAAGAGGTCCATAAATGGAGGCTCTGTTGAAAGCCCTGCTTCAGTGTACTCATTTTGCAAACTAAGTATGAGTTATTTTGGCGAGATGTAGAAAGCTATCTCTCTGAAGTCCAACTAATCTGGGATTTGTGGTGATTTCCCACGCCTGGACCTCACGTCCACACTTGGATTAGACTCTGAAGAAAGGGCTTCATGAGCAGAGTAATCGGGCCCAGGACCAACAGTGTGTACAGTAATACAAGAAAATGGTATTTTTTCAGGGCTCTAGTCTATCAGGTGGTTGTACAAAAAAAGTGGAAACAAAGAGGAATAATGGATCAGAGGCTAGAATGATCTCCAAAGTTGGAGCCTTTAGATATAAACTCCTTAAATGAGGAGTGGTCTCAGGGGAAAAAAAAAAAACAACTGGAAGCCACTAACCAATTATGAGACATGCTGGTTTGTAAATACGTTCATAGCAAACAGACTGCGTCCTTGTGCACACTCAAATAAACACTTATTTAAATAAAGCAAATATAGTTTGGAGGTTACAGACATGGCCTTTGGGGCTAGACAGGTATGTTCTTAAACCCCTTAGAAAGGATGTTATCTCAAGAAAATTACTTATCGTTACCTAAGCTTCATGCTTTAGTTTCCTAATAAATTCTACCTCTTAGATTCGGTATGAAGATTACATCTTTTCAAGTCTCTTAATCATTGGCAAAAAGCATATACAAACACGTATACATATAAGTATTTTAGCCATTATATCACTTTTTCACTTTTCCTTCAAATTAATCTGAATTAGTGTTCACCGCATCGAAAATGTGCGTGACTTTTGCTCAGCTCCTCACCTCTTCCATCGGTGGTGTATCCAGGGCCATGAGGACATATCTTTTTGTACTGGGCCGTTCCGGGAAGCGGGCAAAGCTCACACTGGTGCCCCCAGCCCCGCCCCCCGTCGCAGCAGCACTCGGACTTTGTGACCAGATTGCGGCTGCTCGACGCCATCTGGCACATCGTCTGCAACACTTCCGCAAAGCAGAGTCCCTGTCGGGTGTCTGAAATAACAATGTGGGTAATGAGCCTCACTGACATGGAACTGACACCTGGTCTTCATATAAGATAGGACAGTCAGTGTTCTTCTTCCCGGCACAAACTTTTTCAAAGGTAAATATTCTTCTCTGTGAACAGCCACCCTGCTTCAGAAAGCTTCACGATTATAAAGTTGTTGGGAGAAGGGAGTCTGTGGTGTGCTCTTTTACTACAATTTATTAAATTTGACAAAAAGTGATATGATGCTTAGGAAATAGATTTGTTTTTCTTCAACCCATCAATAGCTAACTGATAGTACACTACCATTCCTGTAGAACACAAGTAAAAGGAAAATGAAGTGACATTATTTCCTTTTATTTATTTATCTTTAAACATTTTATTTATTTGTCAAGGGAGAGAGAGAGAGAGAGAGCAGGGGAGAGGGGCAGAGGGAGAGGGAGGAGCAGGCTCCCCGCCGAGCAGGGAGCCCGATGTGGGGCTCGATCCCAGGACGCTGGGATCATGACCTGAGCTGAAGGCAGATGCTCAACCGACTGAGCCACCCAGGCATCCCAAATTATTTCCCTTTAAATAAGCAAATGAGTATCAGGACTTGTTTTTGAAAAGTAAATCCTGGACGATGTTACCATCTTGGTACATATTCAATCCAATCTCAGCTTTTCTGCATCTAAAAGAGTGTTCAAACATTTGGACTGAACAGATTTTTTTTTTTTTAGTATAAATAAAGGAATTTCTCTGATGTAAATAGGCAAATAAATCTTTAATATGGTTTTATGAACCATCCTAGTGAAACCTTAATAATACGAACAGAGAAGTACATTATAATTTGTATGCTATCTTTTCTATTGCCAGAAAGATGGTGGTTAGTAAGGGTCTGGATTGAAGACATCAGCAAATAAAATTTATTTTCTTGACTAACAATTTCCTAGGATATAATGCAATGACATCATTTGGAGAAAAATCTGATATAGCTGAAACATGCTGTTTTTATATCAGATCAAGTGATGAGTGCTCTTATTTCTCTGTTTGCCTTAAATTTTACTACTCCATACTTTTACACCTGCTCATAATTAACTGAAATGGTTTATAATGTATGCATTTTAGCATTAAAATACAACATAATGTCTGAGATTCATATTTTCCATAGGAAAATATTTTGTAAAACATTTTTCTGTACCATAAAATAAAAATTAAACTTCATTGCATTTTTGAAATATGGCATTTAATATTTCTAATACGGCAAAGCTTACCTCACAAGCAAATATTTTCTTTTGGAATTAAATCATCTCCTGATGTAAGTTTTACTAAAGTCACATTTTCCGTAGAGCTTAATTAATCTTAATTTTGGAAAGACTATTTAAGATGGCTATTTACATTACACATAGATGTGCATACAACTCACATGCACAGAAATACATCATTTTAATAGATGTGTACCTTTAGGAAGAAGTATATGGATTACTCAGATTGGAGGATTTTTTAGCAGACAAGAATATGTATGTAGAGCTCTTCTGTGATGACATCATAAAACAGATGTTTTATTTACCAGGTAAAATACGCTCAGGTGTCACTTACCAAGGCATTCGGTACCTGAGGAACTTGACTGAAATCCTTCATTACACTCACATCTATAGCTCCCAATAGTGTTCACACAGCGCCCATTTTCACAAATTCCTGGCTTGGTCCTGCATTCATTTTCATCTTCGGGAAAACAAACAGGGTGAATAATGAGCGGACTGTAAAATTACTATTTTCAAATTGTCCTCGAGTGGGTTATATCTTATTTAAAACTTCCTCGCCAAGATACTATGATGGGGTAAAAACCAGTCATATGTGAATATGGATTTATTTTTAACTTCATCCTTCCAGGTGGGTTCTTTCTTAACAAAGTTTTTTCTTTCTTTTTCCCTCCCCACCCCTCGTGGGGAAGGGGTGGTGGTTGATGACAACTGGCCTCCACAAGACATAAACTCGCCCTGCGACACCAGACAAGGTGGGAAAGAACTGTGGGGAAGAGGGTGCTGGTTACATGACAGGAGAGAGAGGCTGGGAGCAGAGCAGGGGGAGGTGTTAGGGAGGAGAAGAGAGTAGGGTTAAAGCCACACAGGCAGGGATGAAGGGCAAGCCTCCAGACTAGCTTTGAGTAAAATCACAGTAGTACGGTGTATGAGGGCCACTAATGGTAGAAGGAATTTAGGTAGTACTGCTCTTTTGGTTTATGATAAATTAGAGCAAAAATGCTTTATTAAAATCTCCTTTGTCCTTACTATATTTGTATTCTGTAAATTTTGCTTGGGGCATTTTTTTTTTTGAAGCTCTGTTATTATGAGCATAAAGGAGCTCATGATAATGAGATATTTTTGATTGAGCTGCTTTCACCTTTATACTTTTTTTAAAAATCTTTAATTTGTTGGTACTTATTTTGCTTTTGCTTTCTTTTTATCAGCATTTGCCCTCAATGTTTTTTTGTTCCATCCCTTTATCGTAGATCTATCTCACATCTTGACTTGGCACCTTTCTTTTACAAAAAGCACCAAACTGGATTTAAAAGGAGTTTTAAAACGTAGGCCCGCCTTTTAACTGGTAGTTTATTCCCAGCTATCGTGACTGCTGATGTGTTTGGAGTCTTACCTGTCATTTTATTTTGTTTTGTATCTACCATGTTCTTGCCCTCCTCTCTCAATATTCCTTACAGTAGTCTAGATTTCTATGCCCTCCTCTTGTCCCCATCTCATGTCTGGAAGTTATAATCTTCTTTCTGTCCTTTCAGTGGTAACCATGAAACGACTTCAGCACATACTCAGCAATGAATACTTTCCATCGGTGTCAACAAGGACCAGTTTCAAAAGTCTCTGGCACGAGTTCTTCTGCCCTCTCCTGGTGCCACCTGCCACGCCGATGTGATCTAGAGATTTTGGTTTGCTAGATCTTTTCTTTATGTGCCATCAATATCTCTGTAAACCAAATCATGAGGTTTCCTGGTTCCTTGGCTTACCACTGCTTCATGGATAGTACCCCGTCCTTTTAGATTAATAAAACAAAACATGGGAGTATCTAGTTTGGTAATCATTTTAGAGGGTATGTGGGTGGTAAACATTCTAGAATACATTTCTGACAATGTCTTTTTTATTTTCTTACTGGATTGAGTGTAGAATTTTAGTTCAAAATTATTTTCCCTTAGCATCTTTGGAAAATATTGCTCCATTGTTTTTCTTTTACCCAATGTTAACTGTTCATTTGCAGGAAATCTGGTTTTTCTCTCTGGAAGCTTTAAGGGGTTTCACTTTGCTCTTGGTGTCCTAAAATTCACCATCATGTGTCTTCGGTGAAATTTTCCTTCCCTTTTAGGAAAAAAAAAACTTATTATGGAAATTTTAAAGTATATACAAAAATAGTGAGCTAAGTTATGGATTTAAAAAACTGTATAGTGTCTGTTATTTCTAGAATCTGAGGGTTCAAGGTCTGCCTTGTTGATCTAATGCTATCCCTGATGTCGTTCACCTTTATTCTGATTTGTATTTTTGTTGTCTGAATTACTTTTTTTAAGAAGGGCTCTTGTTGGACATACTGAATGAGTTCCTCCATGTCTGATGACATATAATAGAGCTTTTATACTTGAAAGATGGCTAGACGGGTCCCAAAATTTTAGATTACTTTTGCTCTGCTACCATTGGCGTGAGAATTAGTGTGAGACCTTGAAGAAAGTAGCTTGATTTTCTCCTGCCTTGTAGGTAATTTTCCTTTTCTGCCCAGGTGCCGCAAGCCATCAGAAGTCTTTTCTGATAACTTCTTCTTCTTTTTTCTCTTGTTGAAATTTGTAACTTCACTACGGAATATCTTGGTGTGATGTTGCACTACCTATGAAATTTTGATTTCTAGCATTCCAGGTTTTATCCTTGGAAAAGTTTCTCGATCACATCAGGACTGCCAATTAGTGACCATGGCATTGTCCACTGCTCTCTCTTCGTGCACTTAGCTCTGTCTACGCAGCATGACAGGCCAGAGACAAACCCACAAACAGGACAGGTCTCACTTTAACTCATGATTCAAATCTCAAATGGGAACTAATGCTCCTTTGACAATCTTACTGTATTTCTTCGTATGTCCACCATGCTCCCACTTTCTACAGTGACTACTGCACACGGAGACGAGAACTCCATCTCTCCACTACCCACCACCTGTGGGGCCCTCACTTTCCACCTCTTGTCTTTTTCCACAGTTAAAGATTCTCTGGTTTTTCTCAAAGGCCACTCTTTACACTTGTACTCTGGATTGCCTTCTAAGAGTTCACAGTTATCCTTTTTCAGTGAGTTATTCTCTCGACACACATTTTCTCATAACTTCCATCTTAAAAAACCCATCTCTTTTAATAACGTCTTATACCTCTAACTAGTACCTCATTTGTGTTCCCCTTCAGGACAAATTTCTTTCTTTCTTTTTTTTTCCCTCCTCAGCGCTCTGATTCCTATTTTGTTCTATTTTATTTCCAGATTTATTAAGTAAAATTTATAAAGTGAAAGGATTCCTCCGTCGAGTGAATCAGTCACCCATTACCTCACATATTTGCCCTTTTTCTGTGTGAGAATATTTAAATTCTGTTCTCTTAGCAAATTTCAATTGCACAGTACAGTGTTATCAGCTGTAGTCGCCGCCACATCACACATTAGATCCTTAGACCTTATTCATCTTATACCTGTAAGTCTGTATGCTTTTACCAACCTCTCCCTATTTCCCCCACCCTCAAGCCCCTGACAAACATTCTTCTCCACTATTTCTGTGAGCTCAATTTATTTATTTTTATTTTTTTAGATTCCACATATAAGTGATACCGTGTCTTTCTCGGTCTGGCTTATTTCACTTTGCATATTGCCCTTTGGGTTCATCCATGTGTTCTCACAAATGACAGGATTCCCTGAATCCTGTGTGTGTGTGTGTGCACGCGCACGCTTGTGTGTGTGTGTGTGTGTGTGCGTGCACGTTTTCTTGTCCACTCATGTACTGATACACAACTAGGATGTTTCCACACCTTGGCTATTGCCAATAATGCTACAGTGAACACCGGAGTTCAGGTATTTTTTTGAGATAATGCTTTTGTCTCCTTTGGATATATACCCCGAAGTGGGACTGCTGGATTATATGGTAGTTCTGTATTTAATTTCTTGAGGAAATTCCAAAATCCATACCTCGTGGCCTTAGCAGTTTACGTTCCCACCAACAGTACATACGGTCACAGTGCATGGGGTTCCTTTTCTCCACATCCTCGTCAACACTTGTTATCTCTTGTCTTTTTTATGATTAGCCATCCTAACAGGTGTGAGGTGATATCACTTTGCGGTTTTGGTTTTCATCTACCTGATGATTGGTGATGAAGAGGCCACCAAATCTTATTGCTCCTTCTCTTTCTATGTCTTGCTCTTTATCTCAGCAACATCGGACACAAGTGGCCACTCCCTGCTTGAATAATCCATCCTTTTAACTGTCACGGTCTGACACCGAGCTGGAGAACTTCCTCTCCTGCTGGCCACTCATTTTTAGTTTTCTAAGTATCTTCAGTCACACTAGATTTTGGAGCACTCAGAGCTCAGTCACTGCCCCTCCACTCTCTCTGCTCTCGTGGTGTCCTCATCCAATCCCATGACTTTTCAACGACAACCTGTTTGCCAGCATTTTACAGCCACGGCTCACGAACAGATCTGTGTATCTAATGTTACCACTTGGAAGGCTCCTATATTTCTGGCAGTTACTTTGGCAGTTTCTTCCCGTCTTTTCCTTATCAGTTCATAGTTGCATCATCCCGTCATTTATTCAAGTAAACTCCAGGGACTCATCTTCTCTACCTCTCTTCCTTCCTCCACTGTAGCCTATCAATCCATCTGCAAATTCTGTTGATTATCTCCAAAGTACACTCTGAATCTGAGTCCCTTTAACGACATTTTTACCCTGCTATGGCCTTTATTTGAGCTTTCTTCAGCTCTCATTTGGATGATTAAAATTGCCACCTAAATGGACCCTGTTTCTACTCCTAACCCCTCACGACGCATTATCCACTAGGCAACCGGACATCTTTGAAAATGTAAATCAGACAGTAACAACAACAACAAGTGAAATTCTACTGTATGTCAAGCATTGTTTTAAGGGTTTTATATGATTTAACTAATTTAATTTCCCCGATAATCCTATGAAGTGCTCTCATTATTCCTATTTGTGTTTAGAGGACGAAATTGAGGCACATAGTGAAGCCAGCTTGCCCCAAATCACAGAGCTAGGAGATACGAGTCGAGGTTTCTCAGATTCATCATCCATCTCCAGGGCCCCACTTGGAACCACTCTGCCACAGTGCATACACCACAAAACTCTCTCTTGACCGTGGCCTGCATTTGGACCTCACCTCATGCCACTCTCCTGGCACAAGGTCCAGCTAAACAGGCCCTCATTCCAGCCTCAGGCATCTTTGCTCTTACTGCTCTTTCCTTTCCATTTCTTTCTTTCTTTTTTTTTTTTTTTTAAGATTTTATTTATTTATTTGAAGACAGAGAGAGTGAGAGAGGGAACACAAGCAGGGGGAGTGGGAGAGGGAGAAGCAGGCTTCCCGCTGAGCAGGGAGCCCAACGCGGGGCTCGATCCCAGGACCCCGGGACCATGACCTGAGCCGAAGGCAGACGCTTAACGACTGAGCCACCCAGGCGCCCCTCCTTTTCATTTCTATGCATCAGCTCAAATGTCTCCTTGTCAGTGAAGGCTTCCTTGGAAATGTCTTCTAACTTAGCTCCCATTTAATCATTAAATCTTACTCAAAAAGATTTACTGCTGTATGAAATTATCATGTCCATTACTTGTTTGATGCCTGTTGTTCCCTGAGCAGAACATACACAACTTGAGAGCAAAGTGGGGGCGGGGGGGGTGGGGAGGACCACCTGTCCTTCTAGTTTATTAGGGTCTTCCAAGAGCCACACACACAGCGGGTGTTCAGTAAAGTGTAACTCAGTAAGTGACTGTTCTGTAATAGTTTTTCATGGGGGCGGTGTGTTCTTATATACAGATATAAATATCTTCTATAAGATACTCATATACTCAAATATATTTCAATTTTTTTTTTTTACTTTTCTCTTTTTGGGGGGACTTTATTTATGCAATGTTGGATTTTTTGTCTTCCACCTATATCATTTTCTTATTAATCACTTCCATACCCACATTTTCACCTGTGTTTTCATCCTTTGCTTCTTTTTATTAATTCTACTGTGCCTAATTTCTGTGATGCTTTTCTTTTCTGAGCTCTGCTAGATCATTCTCTCTTGAGATTGCTTTATCTTCATTTTCAAGCTCTTTTATTATAGTTTTTATTTAATGGTGTCTTACAGATTATGAAACAATTTTCCTAAACTTGTCTTCTTCCATTCCTGAGGTGTTTTAGTCTAATTCTTGTTTATATTCCTTTTTTCTCCCCCCCACCCAACCCCAATATATATAACTTAGTTGCACTCCTGTGTAATTATCCATCTTTGACTGATTTTCATCATTTCAACTATTTGCTGAAAAGTAATGTAACAGAAGATCACCCATTGCTGAGCTGGGTGTAATCTATAGCTTCAATTCATGTTTGTTGTATGAGCATCCTCTCACCAAATTGGTTATACTCTCTGCCCATGGGGTATGCATACCAAGTTTTTTGTAATTTAGGAGGTCACTGAGTAAAGTTCTGAGTAAAGTTCTTTGGGTCTTAATATGTCAACTGTGTTTTCCCTTTTCACACTGAATGTGGAACTGGACTTCTACAGAAACATTTTATGTTTCTCTCATTCACCTGTGTTCCCAATCTTCTACTCAAAGACTGCTGGATGAACTCTTAAATTGGGGCAGTTACTTTGAAAGATATCTGTATTTTATTAAAGTCTAAAGAAGAATATGTCACTGCACCTCTTATGTGTTTTTGATTGATATTTTATAATATTTGAAAGATATTCTTCAGAGTCTGTATTTGGGGACCATTCCTCATTTAAGTAAATAACACTCTTCCCTCCTCCATTGTATTTCTAAATCTTCAGGGGACAGGAGTGAGGGAACACATTTTTATTCCATCATCTTAAAAGCAAAGCCTTCCTTCCTCTCATTAATATTTCAAAATTCATTTTGAAATAAATTTTATTCATTTCAAAATGAATAGCCAATAGTATTGTCAAGATTTTCATTAAAATTTAATGATCTTGGTGAACTTTTTTCTATTTATTAGGTTTTTCTATTCATTTGTTTACTTAAAAAATAATTACTGGGCATAGTATATTGCATAGTCAAATTTCATCTGCTATATCTGATAAGGGGTCACTACTCAAAATATATAAATAACTTACACAACTCAACACCAAAAAAACCCCCACAATCTGACTAAAAAATGGGCAGAGGAACTGAGTTAGCACTTTTCCAAAGATGACATACAGATGGGCAACAGACACATCAAAAGATGCTCAACATCACTAATCATCAGGGAAATGCAAATTCCAACCACAATGAGGTATCATTTTACTCCAGTCAGAATGACTAAAGTCAAAAAATCAAGAAATAACAACTGTTGGCAAGGATGTGGGGAGAAAAAGGAATCATCAAACATGGTTGGTGGGAATGCAAACTGGTACAGCTACTGTGGAAAACAGTATGGAGGTTCCTCAAAAAATTAAAAATAGAACTATTTTATGAGCCAGTAATTCCATTACTGGGCATTTGCCCAAAGAAAATGCAAACACTAATTTGAAAAGATATATGCACTCCTTGTTTGCTGAAGCAGTATTTATGATAGCCAAGATATGGAAGCAACCTGAGTGTCCACTGATAGACGAATGGATAATGAAGGAAAATGTGGGACATACACACAATGGAATGTTATGCAGACATAAAAAGTATGAGGGCATGCCATCTGAGAAAATATGTAAGGATCTAGAAGTAATTATGCTAAGTGAAATAAGTCAGACTGAGAGAGACAAATACCATATGACTTCATTCCTATGTGGGATCTAAAAACACAAATGAATAAACACACACCAAAAGCACAACCAGACCTATAATACAGAGAACAAACTGATGGTTCCCAGAGGAGGGGGGGTGGAGGGGTTGGGCAAAATGGGCAAAGAGGAGTGGGAAATATAGGTTTCCAGCTATGGAATGAAAAAGCCACGGAAATAAAAGACACGGCACAAGGAATAGGGTCGATGATATTGTTAGAGTAATGCATAGTGACAGACGGTAGCTACACTGGGGGTGAGCACAGCATAATATTTAAACTTGTAGAAT